TATCAGCTGAAGAAAGTGGGAACTTTCGCCCTCCCTCCTGGAAATCACACTGACCGGGCGGCCGGCTTCACCAGCTTCTGTTCCTTTATTTATTAACCGTTCTTCACGGTGGCTGTTTCATTTAACTAGTGGTTCCCATCCTAAAAAAGTGGTCGCCTGTGGCTTGCAGGTTACCCCTCACGAGAAAGATCCCTCACTGCTAACAGGCCACCGAATGGAGCTCAGGTGAGACACCGGCGCCTCTGCTCTGATGCGAGGCTGCCGGGAAACAGGGCACCTCGGGGTTCCTGCGTGTGTGCAGTGTCTGCGCCAGGTGTCGCATCGGTGCATGGTGAATACTGCGCCATCCAGCTCTCCTTTCAGGAACATCAAAGCAGTCAAGTCCCACTTGCGACCCGTCCCCTCCAACAAACACAACTTCGTCTTCCTCACTCCCCAGGGGAAACCTTGGAGCTTCACAGGAGCATCAGAGCTCAGAACACATTCCCTAGCTACTCATGTTCCCGTTTTAAAACACTTTTAAATAACTGAAAAATCTTGCCTTATAGTTTTATGGGCTCTCTTTCTTCAATTCACTTTTTTTTTTTAATGTCTTTATTGATTTCAAAGAGTGGAAGGGAGGAGAAACACCAATGATGAGAGTCATTGATCGGCGGCCTCCTGCACGCCCCCTGCTGGGGATCGAGCCCCAAACCCGGGCCTGTGCCCTGACCGGGAATCGAACCCTGATCTCCTGAATCACAGGTCGTTGCTCAACTGCTCAGCCAGGCCTGCCGGGCTAATTCACTTTTTTAAGATTTTAAGTCTCCTTCGTTTATAGAGCAGTTTAAGTTAGGAAATTACAACAAACAGTAAAAGAAATCCATGGGACCACTCTGTGATATTGTCAAAAAAATAATAATAGCAGAATACGTTTGGCTGGTAGAAGACTCCGAACTGGATTACACCACCTGAAACGAAGACTCCTAAAAAAATTAATCCAAGTACTTCTAAAAAATCAAACTTTCTTGTTTCTCAGAGATAGTGTTGAAGTTTCTTCACCTCTTCAGCTTAATAAGTTTAATGCTAGATGACGGTCATTCTGTTTAAATTATATTTTCACAGCTTCATAGAAAATGGACAATTTCCTGAGTAATGTGGACTGTTTCTAGAAGCATACAATTAGCTAAGTCGTGGTTTAACAGAGCTCATCGGTACCAGCCTGGAAGCCAATGCCTCCCAGCACCCTTAATCACCAAAAATTAAAGCAGAAAGCAGAATACTATTAAACCCATTTCTATGGCCCATCTTAGAAACCAAGCACAACCATTTAACTGTAAGTATCAATTTATATACATACATGTAATCTTTATAACAGTTTACATCCTATTTCCTTGGTAAAAGTAGTCCCTAGATACTTATTGTTAAAAAGTCAGTCTCTGGGTTTCTCTATTTGATTTTTTTTTTAATTTACTTAAATTGAGCCAATTAACCAGCAGGGAGCACAAAGCAGAGAAATGCTGCTAGGTGACGGGCTCTCCTTGGAGGTACAGTTATCAGTAAAGTCAGACTCAAAGAAGACCAGGTATGTCAGCTGGCTACACCTCTGCCCACTGGGAGGTTCTCTCTATAGCGAGCTAAGGTACCAGGAGGACCACAGACATCCCGGCTGCCGTGGGCACAGGGCTGTGGAAGGACAGTCTTCCTACCTCTGGAATTGATAACAATACTGAACTGGCGGGCTGCGGAGCCTTGGCTACAGAATCAAGTTCAGAAAAAAGCAATCTGCTCACTTTCCCTCCACACATGAACATAGGACACATCCCACCATCCAGGTGGGGCCATGCTGAGCAGTTTATTCCGTATTATTCCGTATAGTTTTTCCACAACATCCACGAACACCGATAGTCATTGCTATTTATTTTCCCAACACTTCGTAGCCCATCTGCACAAAATCACTCACGTGGCTGAAAATCTAATTTTAAAAGCTTTCAAAAGCGTGTTTTCACTATTACACATTAGGTCAGCGAACAAGCATTTCGGGAGGAAAAGCTGATCCTGTCTAAAGCTCCTATTATGCTGCTTCCCAATGACTTCCGCCAACAGCCAACGACGTATCCGATATGAAACCCTGACAGTCACTCATGTTGCAGAGTCTAGGATTCTGGCCTTTAAAGGAAAAGGAACATATAAGGAGAAATTTACAGCCCTTTTTAACTACCTTATAATAATATTTCCAGACTAATAACTATACTCGAGCACAGGAACAATGCTTAAAAAGCTGACACTGAGAACCCCAACTCGACAAGAAAACAAGTCAACCGGCCCTGAGGAGTTCGTGTGGTGGCAGTTTTCCCCTTCAGAACGTAATCAGAGTGGCCACAGAGAGTCAGGTGAGTCTCGCCAGCATCACACGGCCAACACAGAACAATCACAGCAACCCGTTCATAATCCAGAAAATGCAACCAAATAAAACAACTGGCGTCACTGGAACACCAACCATAAATTCCCATTTTGAAAAAGGCAAACCCTTCATCCATTAATCTCGTGATGAAAAGTTCCAAGAAAGCACACGGGAACAAATCCACAATATATTCAATACAACACAAGGTACTACCCAAAGCAACGGTAACCGTATCGGTCTACTTACAGTCTGTACAGCTTCGAGGTCCCCAGGAACAGCAACTCAGGAAACAGCTGAAGGTGATTTCTGTTTAAACGCCTTTTGAGAGAGAGAGAGAGAAAAAAGTGTATGTTACATAGAAAATAGAAAACACCCAACAATGAGACTGTGGTTGGGCAGTGTCATGCCTCATCCTGTGTGGCAGGAAAGAAAGAAATGACATTCAAGGGAATTCAAGCATTGCGAATCAGAAGCCGGTTACACCTTTTGTTCCATGACTCTCTAAGGCAATTTTCCATTACGCTTACTCTGATGATGATTACCGCGGCCTAAACTCTACACTCACATCCCGCGCAACACCGGTCAGCCAGAGTGCACACGATGGGGAGGGATTTGACTCAGACTCTGGCGTCTGGGTAAGGAGACAGCTCAGCCTCCAGCCGAAATATCACAGAAAGGCACCCTGAAATAACTCACATGCTGTCCCAACTGACCTACGTTTTCAGCCAAGGCACTGTGGGGAGACAAAAATTTCAATTTCATTATCTTTTCATTTGGTTGCCGAAAAAAACGTGCGTGCAAGTGTCAGCGCGACAGGTAAAAGCAAAAGCGAACCTGAAAGTTCAAACCTCAGCCCACAGTTCTTGACCCTTGACTGAATCTGAGACCGAGTCATTGCTAATTGGTGTCCAAAATGCTTAAATTATGTTTTTAAAATGTTTCACTAATATTGGAATGATTTAAATGTTTTAGAAGAGAATTCGACTGCAACTCTAACTCAATTGAAGTCCCGATGCTACGTAAATGTTCTTTTAAACTATCCATACTCGCTAAGGAGTGGGCCGGTTCTGGCCCGGATGTACCAATTCCCCAAACTCATTCATTTTAGGTGTGCAATTTAACATTTCAGTAAAAATAGATGTCCATCACTCGCTATTCCCAAATTTAAATAAAATGACGAAAAGCTGAGGCAAAATTCACACTGAAATGACTTATAAGCTGCTGCAGAGCTCTAGAAAAGTGTAAGGTCCCAAAACTAATGTCACACTAAAGAAACTGGAGGCATTTCTTCAGTCTTAAAGATAAATGTTGAGGGGACAGTAAAAGAGGCCACATCAATCAGCTGCGACATATTTAAACGGTCACCAGGTGTAAGCGGAATTACACCTTTGGTCTCCAGAGGGCGGACATGGCCAAGGGATTATAACACTTAAGAAAGCAGATTATAAGGAAGACCTTCCTAAGAATCACAGATATTAAAAAAATACAATGATCTGCCTTGAGAAGTCTCAACTCCGCATCCCACAGACATTTAAGCACAGGCTTTCCACCCCCCCCCCCCCC